GGCAGGACCCACACGCAGATTGAAAGAACCATCTGTGCTGTGCACATTGGGGGGGTAATGTGAGGTGTGTGTGTGTCAGTTTCATTCTGTGGTCCAAGGAGGACAAGTATCGGTGGACTCAGCTGTGCCACGCCGAGTGGCCGTGCAAGGGAAAATGCATGCAGGACTGGACATACGTAAGAGCCACCAGACACACTCAGGATGGTTGCCATCCCATCCATCGCGATGTGTGTGTGTGTGTCTGGCTCGCAGAAGTGTCCCTTCGGGTGGCGCCGCGTCATCAAGCTGCCGATCTTCAAGGCAAAACCAAAGCTGCGGTCCGCCCCACACACCGAAACATACAGACAGACCATCGCACATGGATGTGTCTCTGTCGACACACCACAGTGTGTTGGTGCCGGTCGTGTGCAAGCCGCCGCCTTCGTATGACGGCCCATGTGGCAGCATGAGACAAGACCTCACCAACTTCGACTTCGCCGCCAAGGTAATTTGCACAGTACACCACCCAGGCGGCATGTGATATGTGTGTGATATGTGTGTGTGTGTGTGTGTGTGTGTGTGCAGAGGGCGTTTGCGTTCAGGTGCCAGTTGCGTTGGCCGTGTCGAGGCTCCGCTGGCGGCTCTCTCTTTGCGTCGCGCGGCATCAACGTCCGCATCAACCCCCTCTTCCAGCGGTCGACACTCAAAGACGACGCGGCGGCCAGGAAGAAGACAGAGAGAGCTTTCTCACTCACTACATAACATGAGATGAGATGAGCCCGTTGATGGATCAACTGAGAGGGACATCAATGCAAAGCAATTGACACCATCAAGGCGGCCCCCTGGGTGGTTTTGGGGGGTAACGTGCGGACCTATGGTTGTGTGTGCATCATGACCGCGCTGCCGAGGGCTACACACACACAACAGATCAGCCCCAGACACCTCGACCGTGTCGAGATTCGCGAACCCTGAACCCTAAACCTCGCGAACCCTGAACCCTAGAGGCATGATTTTGATACCAGCATGACCGCGTCGACGTCCTGAGCAACATGGGCGTCACAGATTGTCCGTACGAGGTCAAGATCACGAGATCTGATCTCCCCAACAAGACATTAGGGCGGCCATTGCGCAGCAACCACGGCGAATGAGCTCTCGATGAGTCAGCCATTTTGACCGCCCTGACGCACTGACTCATTCATCTGCCCCTCTCGACCCCGCCCTCCCTCTCCCTCCCCCTGCAGCGACCCACCTGAGGTCTGCCAATCACTTCCCCCCCTCTTGTGCAGCGACCCAGATCCGCCACGCCGTCATATCCACACCAGGTACACCTCTCCACACGCCCTATCAGGTGGCACACACGAATCATCGATATCTCACATCTCATCTCACTCATTTTTCCCTGTTCCGTGTGTGCAGATTTCACTTACCCCCGTTTTTCGGGACAACCGCTTGTCCCGTGCAGCTGATTCTAGCACCACCAGAGAGCCCACTCGATGTGCTTCACGGTGACCTACGACACATGACCACATCACACATACACGCACACTTTTCATTGTCAACTCCTCCTCCATCCCCTCACTCAGGTTGATTGTTGGTCGTTTTCTCGGCTATTTGTGGATGCCGCCGGCCTCCCTGTACAGCATGATTGAGACCACCGAGCGCACTATCATCTGAGGTACACACACGAGGGCACACAGGGCATCCACATCCACATATGTACAGACAAATATGGATATGTATACACACATGTACACATACTGTGTTTGCTCTGTGCTGCTGTGTGGTGTGCTCTGCGGTGTTGTCTTGTGTTGTGTTGTGTGCTGTGTGCTGTGTGTGGTGTGTGGTGTGTGGTGTTGGTGTGGTGTAGGTGTAGGTGTTGGTGGTGTAGGTGTGGCTCTCTTGGTGGTGGCTGTTGCCATCGCTTCAGTTACTTCGTTGATGGTTCATCCCACTCAATGGACGCCCAGGCCCCTCCCGCCCCTCCATACCGGCACCGTCCCCGAGCTGGCGGCGTAGTGGCGGTTCAACTCCGGCAAAAGGATGGCCAGCTGATTATCACCGGCATGCCCAAGCACCTCTTTGATGACCTGAAGGCACAGATGAAGAGCACAGCACAAGACGAGACACTGGCGAAGATGATCTCAAGAGGCTGGGATGGCCTGGACCGATATGGCGGCGGCCTCGGCGCCTGGCTCAAGCGGCATCACGCCGCATACCTGCCGTTCGTCCCCACCATGGCCGCACCTGCCAGATCCACTCTTCCACGCAACCTCTCCGATGATGAGCTCCAGCAGCTTGTCGACGAGGCCCACTTGCGTGTGCCGGGCTTGGGTATGGATCCCGTCTCCAGCGTCCCCTCCGTCTTGCGTCTTGCTAGAGGAGAGATCGAGCACGAGGTCCTGATGGCATTGGAGAGCGAAGAGCCCTTCCCTCTGCTGCGGTCTCTGGGGCTGGAGGACCTCCTCTTGTCCAACCACGCCCAGTACAGCTCGAAGATCCCAGGCCTCCCACCAGCATCATCGCGGCGCAGGAGACGTGACAGTGGCGACGATGATGACGTCAGCCGCCCGTCGAAGAGGGGTCCTTCATATACATCTTTCACTTCTCTTCTGCCGGCCGTCGCCCCATCTCGCCAGCCCAAGAGGAAGGGGAGGTCTCCTGCCGTCGATCCAGCTTTTCCGCAGATTTCCAGTCCACCGAGGAAAGTGCGGTCTCCTGAGCGGGACAAGGGAGGGGACGTCGCTGCGGCTGCTGCTGCAGCCCGAGGCCGATCTGCGTCCCTCTCGCCTCAGCCAATGGAAGAAGATCCACCCCCACCACGAGCGGCTGCTGCTGCTGCTGCGGCTGCTTCTGTCGTCATGCCTAAGGCTGCCCCTGCCCGTCCGCCAGCCGCGGCACCGGCTGCCAATCAGACCTGATCCGTTGAGCGAATGGATTGGGTCACACGCATTGTGATTGACCGTCTTCACATGTCTGTACAGCGGTGGATGCAATCAACACGTCATGAAATCCATGCATGGATGGACACGTACGGACGTCCAATCAGTCGCCACCCATCCGCCCTCCACATATGCCCACATCTTCTTCTCCCCGTTGTTGAAGACTGATCCATCCACATATGTGGATGTGGATGCCCTGTGTGCCCTCGTGTGTGTACCTCAGATGATAGTGCGCTCGGTGGTCTCAATCATGCTGTACAGGGAGGCCGGCGGCATCCACAAATAGCCGAGAAAACGACCAACAATCAACCTGAGTGAGGGGATAGAGGAGTTGACAGTGAAAAGTGTGCGTGTATGTGTGATGTGGTCATGTGTCGTAGGTCACCGTGAAGCACATCGAGTGGGCTCTCTGGTGGTGCTAGAATCAGCTGCACGGGACCAGCGCTTGTCCCGGAAAACGGGGGTAAGTGAGATCTGCACACACGGAACAGGGAGAAATGAGTGAGATGAGATGTGAGATATCGATGATTCGTGTGTGCCACCCGATAGGGCATGTGGAGAGGTGTACCTGGTGTGGATATCACGGCGTGGCGGATCTGGGTCGCTGTACAAGGGGGGGGGGGAAGTGGTTGGCAGACCTCAGGATGGGCGCTGCAGGGGGAGGGAGAGGGAGGGCGGGGTCGGTGACTAGAGATGGATGAATCAGGGCATCATCCCGGTCAACATGGCCGTCTCAGCGAGTGCTCACGAGGCGTCGTTGAGGCGCAATGGCCGCCCTAATGTCTTGTTGGGGAGATCAGATCTCGGGATCTTGACCTCGTGGGGTCAATCTGTGACCCGCATGTTGTCCAGCACGCTCTCCCGGTCGTGCTGGTATCAAAATCATGCCTCTAGGGTTCAGGGTTCGCGAGGTTTGAAGGGTCTAGGGTTCAGGGTTCGCGAATCTCGACGGGGACGAGGAGTCTGGGGCTGATCTTTTGTGTGTGTGCAGCCCTCGCCAGCCCGGTCATGATGGCTACCAAGCCATAGGTTCGCACGTCACCCCCCAAAACCACCCAGGGGGCCGCCTTGATGCGGGGGTCAGTGCGGTGAAGTGGTGAGAAATGCAATTTGGTGGAAAGGGCGAATAGCGAAGCAGGGCGTGTTGGCATACAGAACAACTTGCAGTAAAGCTCCACAGTCAATACTCAAGTCTACACGGCATCGCCAAGTTGGCCAAAAGCCCGTGGACACAGAGAGAGAGCGAGAGACGATCGAGTGAGTGCAGAGGGTGTATGCGTGTGTGTGGTGGGCTATGGGATGCACACACACACGACAGACAGACACACACACACTCAGGCTCGCCGATCATCCATCCATCCCTCCAGCAGTGATAAGCAGGTGGCCCTGAACCACAAACACACACACACACACACATGTTCGTTCATACGTTTGCGCCTTCAAGTGTGTGTCTGTCTGTCTGTGTGTGGCTCTCTTCTCCTCTCCCCCCTCTCCACTCACCTGTCAGTCAATGAGTGGTCGATGTGTCGTGACCAAGAAGGAAAGGGACAAGAGACAAGACTTCCCGCGTTGTAAATAGTTGCAGAGACTGGAGTTGTGTGAAAAAAAAACCCTCTCTCGCTGCGGAAAGGCCAGCCGCTGAGAGAGGGGGTGCACACATTACTCCAACAATATAAAATGTAGGCAGCGATCGATCAGGAGAAAAGACATCCTCCATCCCCCCATCGATGGATCGAGTGACTCGGCCGCGCCACCAACCAGACAGACAGACACACGCAGCCAGCAACCAACCAAAACGCCGTGAGTGAGTGAGCACACCTCTGTCGACGAATGAATGCGTGTGTGAGAGACTGACTGACTGACTTACCTCGAGAGGGGCAATGCATTCTGTCAAGTCCACGGCCATCTGATCTTCTTAGTCCGGTACGAATGAACGCCGTGACGACAACTACACAAAGACTCGACTCCCCACACTCAGGCTCGCCGACCATCCATCCATCCAGCAGTGATGAGCAGGTGGCCCTGAACGAAACACACACACACACACACATGTTCGTTCATACGTATGGCCTTCAAGTGTCTGTCTGTCTGTCTGTGTGTTTGTGGCTCTCCTCTCGACTCACCTGTCAATGGGTCGATGTGTTGTGACCAAGAAAGAGAGAGACAAGGAGAAAGAGAGAGACAAGGCCTTGTGTTCAGAAACCAACGAGTGTGCTAAAAAAAAAGGCGGGTTACAATGTCGGCGGGCAGAGAGAGGAGGGCACCGACATTGTAACCCGCCGTGCACACCCGTCCAAATATAAAATGTAGGCAGCGATCATCCCTCCAACCATCCATCCAACCCTCCATCCATCCATCCCTCCAGCAGTGATGAGCAGGTGGCCCTGAACGAAACACACACACACACACACA